GCTGACGGAGTATGTGGAATCTGGGGGTGAGACTCACCCATCAAACCAGTGTCTACACACAGTTGTTATGAGGTGTGTCATTTTAATAATAATAATAATAATAATAATAAATCCAATTTGTACCGCACTTTTCATTAAGAAAAATCTCAAAGTGCTACACAGTGCAAATAAAATCAAAGATAAAAATCAACCATAAAAATCATGTGGAGGCAGAATAGGCTTGCTTAAATAAAAAAGTCTTCAAGCCTCTTTTAAAATCATTCAGTGGTTGTGGAGCTCTCAGATGATCTGGGAGAGAGTTCCAGAGACGGGGGGCAGCGATTTTAATTTTTATCTTATTTCATCTGCACTAGGATAATTCTTGTAAACTATTAAACATTTTAAGCATTCTAGTACTTGAGTAAATATGAGTAAAATACTGCAGCTTGCTTAAATTATTGATATGGAGACTGAGTGTAGGATCACATCCAATGGTTTGTTTTTTCTTTACCGGGTGCTTTTTTTAGTCCCAGTTTTAGTCCATGTTTTGCTCACAAGATAAATAATTATTGCTCAGTCTAGTTTAATAATCTCCCGTTGGCATTTAGGAGTTATTAAGCTTGAAGCTTTTAATCCTTAGCCTTTTTAATCCTTAGCCTATTACTAAATATTTATACAGTGTAGTTTGCATAGGTTTTGACTGTGCTGGTTCCTGTATCAGTGACAGTAATAGCTAATTAGTTCCCCATTGTTTAATTTATTTGAACTGCAGAGAATAATTAATGAACAAAGTGAAATTCTTAGTTTAAAGTATATATAAGATTCAAATATTTTAGTAGGGCCCATTCTGCTTTACTTCAATTCCTTAAAAATCAAATCAGAATGTATAAAATAATGCATACTGTGAGAAATATTTTCCACATAACTACAGACCACTTATTATTACTCAGTAACATTTACTGTGCTATAAGAATTTCACATTTTTCCATTTTGTTTCAGTTAAATCCTCTGAAAAATTCTAACTTATAGCTGCACCTATCCTCATTTAACCCTGACAGGCTTTCCTGTCCAAGGTATTTCAAAATCTCACCTGGAAGTGTCCTGTCGTGCTCTCTCCCGTCCAGCAGGGGGCAGTGTGCTCAGACAGCAGCAGGAAGCGCAGGTCGGTCCTACTTTAGACCCGTTGGAGCAGCAGCCTAATAAACGGTCAGTATCGGTTCTTTCTTCGCCCTCAGACCTTCAGGTCATCCAACCGTGAAGCTAACTGGCAGCTGCTGCCTACTGCGCATGCGCCACCCAGTTTCTCCGGCAGTAAAGACGGTGAGTGTGTCGCTGTTAAAGTATTTGTTTGTTGTTTTGAGGGTTTTTTAAAGTCTATGTTCGTCGTTTCGGGTCAGAACTCCTGTGTCTGTTAATAATCTCTGCCGTGTGGTTCTGTTGGCTCTGCCAGAACCAGCTGCCTTAGAACCACCGTGTCGCATTGCGATTTCTGAGAAACAACATGATGTCTCTCTGTCTGTCCGTGGGTTTCCTGCAGCTTTCTGTCTGTCTGTCAGGTTTTACACCACAGTAAAATTAACCGCTGCTGATCAGCAGGCGACCTTCCTGCTGCTGCAGGGCTGAAGATCAGCCCCTTGATTATCTAGGAATAAAGGCAGACAGTTGTTTGACTATCCAGTAATACAGACAGGTAGCTGTTTGATTATCCAGTAATAAATACAGACAGATGTTTGACTATCCAGTAATAAAGACAGACAGATGTTTGATTATCCAGTAATAAAGACAGACAGATGTTTGATTATCCAGTAAT